ATAAGCTTTCGTGAGTTAAAACCTCACTTCTTCGGATGCATCCGAAGAAGTGAGGTTTTAACTCACGAAAGGCATCCGAAGAAGTGAGGTTTTAACTCACGAAAGCTTATGCCCAAATAAATCTGTTAGTCTTTAAGGTGCCACCAGACTCCTTGTTGTTTTTGTAGATACAGACTAACATGGCTACCCCCTGATACTGGTTAGCCAACGGTTTCTCCGCCCTTGGTGTTCACACCTCAACTGCTAGAAGAGGACCTCATTCTCCCTGATTGAACTAACCTCATTATCTCTAGACTGATTCTTGCCTGCATATTTATACCTGCCTCTGGAAATTTCCACTACATTCATCTGACGAAGTGGGTATTCACCCACAAAAGCTTATGATCCAATATGTTTGTTAGTCTATAAGGTGCCACGGGACTCTTTGTCGCTTGGTTAACAACGGTTTGTTTGGGAGGGGGAAATAGTAACTTACTTTTTGCCATTTAAGCCAGCAGATCTGACTCTGGGTAGACAGAGTGGCAGCTCTATTGAGTAAGAACCACACTCCAAGCTTGAGATATTAGGCACCCAAAAACCTCAGGAGGTTCAAACAGTTAAGATTTGTACCTCAGTGTTCACTTGGCTACATCGCACAATGTAGTATTTCCTATTCCTGTTTTCCTTGCTAAATATACACCTTAACTTTACTTTACCAGTACCCCTCCCCACCCAAAAAAAACCAACCACCCAGAAAATTATGCAATATGGCAGTAAATATATAGATTATTACTCCTGGGGGAATTCTGCACCAAAAAAATAAAAATTCTGCATACAATATTTTAAAATTCTGCAAAATTCTGCATATTTTATTTGTCAAAATAACACAATAGAATCACACCAGTTTCAATTATTTTTCGTCATTTATTTCAAAATACCTGTCAGCAAGTATGTCTGTAACAATACAGACAACAAAAAAAATTCAGGAAATGTTTTTTGACAAGTAGCTTCCTTACTAGGCATATTAATACAGAACTCTGAGTAATAATTCATTTAAACTACAATAAAGAACTGTATTTCCCGCAGCCCTCAGAAGCAGTGTAAAGGCTTGGGGGAGTCAGAGGTAATGGAGAGCTGAGGGACAGGGAAGTAAATTGCTGGGAAGGAGCCTGGGTGTGAACCTGGAGGATTGTTGGGTATGGGTGGGAAAAGTATGGAACAAGGGTTTTTGTGAGGGCAGGGAGGGATTGTTAGGGAGCTTCCCCCATGCAGACCCTGGCTAAGCCCTAGCCTCTCCCATTCAGTCAGGCACATCTGCCCCTGTCCACATGTCCCTCCACCCCCACTCAGATACCCACTCCCCCCTTCCCCATGTGTTCCTGCACCCCCATGTGTCCTTTCACCCCCTGTCCATGTGTCCCTCACCACCAGACACCCACTCCCCCCATCCATGTGGCCCTGCACCCCCACCCCTTGTCCCTGTGTGGCTCTGTATCCCCACCCCTGTCCCATGTGTCTGTGTCCCCACCCAGCCACTCTCCTGTCCCTGTACCCCTCCCCCTGTGTCTCTGTGCCCCCACCCAGCCACTCCCGTCCTTATGTCCCTGTACCCCTTCCGCCATCCTCATGTGTCTTTGTACCCCCACCCAACCACCCCGTCCCTATGTAGCTCTGCACCCCCTTCCCCATCACCATGTGGCCCTGCACCTCCCTCCCCCCTCCCTCCTGTGGCCCTGTGCCTCCACTCCCATTCAGTCCCTGCCCCAGTGTGTCCTCCCCCACTAGCCCTTATAAGCCCCTGTCTGACCCCCTCCCAACACCTCGGGCTGTCTGTCTCCCCATAGCCCCCATCTCCTGACCTGCAGGCTTTCTCTTCTTTAGCTGGCTGTGAGCTGCTGCTTTGGTCTATTGCCACAGCGACCTCTGGTGGGCAAAAGGCGGAACTGCAGCAACATTTCAGCAGCAGCTTTTTCTCCACAAAAAAATAAAAATCTGCCAGACTCACTAATTATGCATGCATGCAGTCGTGCAGAACCCCCGCAGGAGTAAAGATATATATACATATGGTAATAGAAAATTTAGCTTTTTGAATTTCTTGACTTTTGAGTGACTGATTTATCAAGCTTAATTTTAGATTAATCTTAGCTTTTGCATTGCATATCCTCCTTCTTGCACACGTGTGCACACACACAGAAACAATTTTCTGTATTCCAAGAAAATTAGAATATACTGAATTTAAAAAGTCTACATGAAAATGTGTCCAACTTAAACCCAGAAAAGTAAGGAAATTCCTACAAGGTTGTAATTCTTATGCTGCCTGCAATGTCTAGGAAGAGATGGGTGGAAGCTACCTTAACACAACCACTTCCCACTGACACCTGCTTAATACCTTAAATACCCTAATGGGTAATAGGCACTGTTGCTGCTTTCAACTGCACTTGAAATCTGGTTTGCTTTTGGGGTCTCCCTTAGTTTTGTGCAAGGATGCAGGATCCTGAAGTTCACTTTGGTTTTTAGCCTTGCTAATTTTTGCACTAAGCTTGAATAAGCCAAAGAAAAAAAGTAGATTAAAGAGAGAGGGAATGCTAGATAAAAAGGAAGTGTGTTATGATTTGGAGTTTTGTAATGTTCAAATAGCATGAGCAATTTTTTTCTTTTGGGGCAGGTGAAATCAAAATGAATGCACCGAGACCTGAAGTTAGTGATGATGAAATTCAGGCAAAGCTAGGAAGTTTCAACAGAGTTGCAACAGGAGGTTCTTTTGTAGTGAAGAATGTTCCGTCAGGAGGAATTACTGATGTGTTCCCACCTTGTAAAATTACTGACCTTGAGGCTCAGTTTGAAGAAGATAAAATTCACTTGTCTTGGACAGCTCCTGGGAATGACTTGGATGTAGGACAAGGTAAGGTGAAGTTTTGTTTTAGTCAGCAGGAAATGATGCATTATTGTCAGTTATCTGAAATTACATACGATGAGCCAGCCAAGGAGAGGTGAGGAAAAAAGCTATGTCTTTCCCATCTGCAAAAAATATGACCATCACTATGGCTTGACCTAGTCTAGATTTTCTCTGTAAAATTTCCTGGTATAGATCAAGACTCAGTGTAACCAATAAATTCCTTGTACAATATGAAATTCATGTTAGTCCCACTTAATGCTTAAAAAAAATGTTTAAAGAAACATGGAATACTCCCAAACATAGGCACCAACTATGGCTGTGCTCCAGGGCTCAAGCACCCAGGGAAAAAATAGAGGGAACTCAGCACCCACTAGTCACAGTGATTTGGTGTGGTCCCGGGGCTGTCTGCTGCTCAGCTGTTGGGTAGGGCCCCAAGGCTAGCCGCCGATCAGCTGTTTGGTGGCCAGGGGTAAGGGGATGGGGTGATGGGAAGAGAAGGGGATGAGGTAGGGGACAGTGGGAAGAGGATGGGAAGAAGTGGGGACTTGGGGGAGAGGGCAGAGTGGGGGTGGCAAGAGACAGGGCAAGGGTGGGATCTCAGGGGAAGAGGTGGGATGAGGGTGGGGCTTCAGGAGAAGAGGCAGAGTGAGGGCGGGGCCTCGGGCCAGAGCAGCAGTGGAACACCCTCCGAGAAAAACAAAAGTCAGTGCCTGTTCTCCCAAACCTGGTACAACAGAATATGCAAAACTTGTATACCAACCAGCCTTATGCTAGTTTACAAAGGCAAACAAATTAAATCAAAAACATACTCACCAATGACTCTTCCACGACTTAGCCCCTGTCTACACTGCAACTATAAATAAGTCAGAGGACCCAGTTACAACATGGGCAGTCCAAGGCTTTAGTCCATTTATGGGGACACAGTTAGGTCTTATTTATAATATATATTTTAAGTATGTTGTAACCAGGTTATGTTATAGTGTGCACATCAGCACGAGCCAGAGAGGTTAAGATAGACAGTCTGCAGTCACACACAGAGCAGCTTCAGATTAAAATCTTTACATACGCGTACAGCTCTTGTCAACCAGCTCACCAGGGAACAAACCAACAACTCCATTAAATCCCCAAAACACTGGCCTAGGTTCTTCTACGTGGCTACTTTGTGCTACTTGTCCGGTTCAAAACAGCCTTACAGCTAGAGTAGCCAGCAATGGAAGAATAACCTCAGTTAGGAGGATCTTCTGATGCTATAAAGTTGGAATAGCACTCTTATGCTACCCCTTACCCCATCTCTGAAGGGATAGAAAAGAAGATGAGGAGCAGGAAGTAGAACTCAAATCAAGCAAAGAACTAGAAAACCCACGAGCAGAACAGAACCATACAGCCTTGAAATGATAACTGTGGACAGTGGGAAGCCAGGCACATTTGCAGCAAGATCCCTGACACACTAACTATACTGGCAAATGAAGCAGGCATTTTGCTGTCTCTCAGCCTATGCTTTAGAACCTGCTCACATTAAGAGAGGGAATGCTGACCAGGATGCAGGGATCTCTCCCTGTGCTGTTTGATCTTATACTTGACCTGGATACTCGCCAGAGACAGGTGAAAGAAATCCTATTTTCATTTCTCATCCAAAAGTTATGTTTCCATTTTAGTACTATAGAGACTTGTGTGAAGTGTGTGGGAGAGAGGCAGTTTAATGGCAGTTATCTGCACTGCCAAATGGAAGACTCATCTGCCCAGCAGGAGCTAAGAGTGCTGGTAATATAATGTGGTTAGTGCTCATGAAGGGAGGGAATGCCCCACATCAGTTAACAGTAGACTATTGACCCAAATAAAATGTGGAACTGATAAGTTCTAACAGGAATCCTGTCCAGAGCTCTTCAGAGAACAGATGTTAGTCAATTAAGCAGGCCCATCAATAATGAGGGTGGGTAAAATGGTAGGGATGGTAATGGAGTATCATTGGAGTTCTTATAAAGATACAAAAAGTGTTCTACAAATCCTGTACTGTGCTTGCATTTAGAGATAATATAATCGGCATTACTAACACACCCTTACTTGTATTCCTCTCTTCTTCCAGCTGACAGATACATAATAAAAGTGAGTGAAAGTTTTCTGGACCTAAGAAACACTTTTGAGAATGCTACTTCAGTGAATACCTCTAGTCTGGTACCTAAACCTGCCGGCACCAAAGAATCATTTCAGTTTAAACCAGAAAATGTCACAATAGAAAATGGCACCATAATCTACTTTGCAGTACGTGCCATTGATAATGCCTCCCTGACCTCAGAGGTGTCTAATATAGTACAGGCAGCTCTGTTTGTTCCTCCAAAGGAATCCTTGCCTGATACGCTTCCTACTGAAGTTATCACTAACAGTGTTCCTACACAAGGATCCTTGCCTGATACGCTTCCTACTGATGTTATCAATGATGGTGTCAATGTTTCAATAATAGTATTAATAGTTACTGGGTCTGTAATAGCTGTATTAATAGCTGTAAGTATAACTGTTTGTATTTTACATAAGAAAAATAGAAAGGTAGGCCCTGAGCTCAGAATGTAATAAAACTAATTGTAAGATGAAAGCTCAATTTATATTTATCCTAATTTGTTCTATTTGTGATTTTCAAAATACATAAGGAAAGACAAATTTGT